TATTTTTACAACTTCAAACTTCCAACTCAACTTGAATAAAAACGAGCTTTCTCAAATTTTTTCTAGGCTTGGGAAAATGGAGGTTGAAATCTGATAGTAAAATAAGGCATAAAACCCTGGCGGCAATGGGATACGTGTAGCTCATTTGGCAGAGCATTCGCCCAGTAAGCGAGATTCGTGAGACTTCGAATCCCGGCGTCAACCATGTTTTTTATTCCCAGCCTCAACCCATAAAAGGGCCAACTTTAATATTCTTCATTACCCGTTTTACCAATACTGATACGATACCGTGTAACTCAACGGACTCATAGTTAGAGTTGGCCCTAACCAGGGATAACTGGCTTTGAAAAAAGTCAAGCTGATCAGCAGTTAAGCTGACAATTCTGATCAGCTCCACAAGCAGAAATAACTATACAATTTCTTCAAAAGCTAATTCCTAAAGAATCTGAAAGGCTTAGGATTAGGCTTAGAAAGGCTTAGACTTCAAAAGGCTTTGGCTCAGGCTTCAAAAGGCTTTGGCTCAGGCTTTAAAAGGCTTTGGCTTCAGGCTTTGGCTTCAGGCTTTGGCTTCAGGCTTAGGCTTAGGCTTAGGCTTCAGGCTTAGGCTCAGGCTTTGGCTTCAGGCTTTAGGCTTCAGGCTTAGGCTCAGGCTTAGGCTTAGGCTCCTAATTCTTCGAAAATGTTATGTCTTGAAATCTCTAGATCAAATCTTTTTCTTTAAACCCTATCCATCTCATTTTACTGTCTGAGTTCCCCTTATCAATTCATTCTCATTTTTATGAAGAAAGTAGACATTTTATAACCTTTCAAAAGGTTATAACGGTGAACCTTTCCAACTGACAAGGTTACTCTGATTTGAGCGATTCCCTTGAGATCAAGGTTGTAAATGAAAGACTAGCTAACTAGCTAATGAGTTCAACTTTTGAGCTAGATTTAGACAAGCATTGAACTTCAACAAGACTTTGTTTCACGATCTAGATCTGTTTTTCGGTTCCTTTCAAGTAATCTAGACTTTTTTCGCTTTTTCCAAGCGAAAGCTAGACTTTTTTCGTTTTTGTATTCGTTTTTTCTGCTGAAAGACCTTGACAAACCCTAGCTAGAGCAAGAAAAAAGCTATTAAGCAGGAAAGGTTGAAGTGAAGAGTGGGGGGAACGCTCCGGTCTCGCGTCTCTCCTCTACCAAGCTCGTGCACTTTCCGTCACCATGTGTGCTGTCTGCGGCTGTTTCTTTTGGTGCTGGTTTTTTTCTGACTACGTTCCCGTCCCGACGTGAAAAAGTGCAAGCTGTACTGGCGGTGAAGGGGCTGGGGGTGGCGGCCGCTTTCTGGTTGAAGTCTCTCTGCAGTCTCTGTTCTTCAGGCGCTCTGTGCAACCCTTACCACCCGGTTCCGCCCTGCACATAAAGGAGATTGAGAGATGTAAGAGCTATAGAGATGTTAGAGATGTTAGAGACGTTAGAGAAGTGAGAGGGTTAGTTGTTTGTGAAAATTGGAGAGATAAAGGAGACCTAGAAGTGAGAGAAAAGAAAAGATGCCTAGAGATCGCTCTATAGACTGCAGAATGTCAGAGATTCAGGGAAAAAAAGAAGAAAGACTATAGAATTGGTAGAGAGCTTAGAAAAGTTGGCAAAAGAGAGTCTAGGCGTGCAATAGTTGAGTAGACACTCCTCCACCGCACACACATAGAGGGAAAGTCGTGTCTTGTCGGCTCCTCCCGCTTTCTATACGTCGTACATGTCTACTCCCAAGCGTTTTCGGGTCTTTTTCCTCTTTTTTTCGCTTTCCGCGTGCTTTTCCCAGCTCCCAATGGGGCCTTTCTCACATGCCAGACAGCGCCTCTCCTTTTTTTTTGTATTCATATGTTTGTGCTCGTTTTTTATGTACGTTTTTTCTTTGTTAGGTTTTTTGGGAGATCATTTTTTGGCTCACGTTCCATTGTTGGGGGAATTGAAAGAATTCTGATTAGGATTTGGCTTTTTGCTGAACTGGATCAGCTGACAATGAGTTCGTTCTTTGGATTTTTATCTAAATCCTAGCTTTCTCAGAAGTTTATCTAGATCCTAGCTTTTTCATTTAGCAAACCTTTTTCAGGTTAATAAATCCTTTCTTTTTCAAATTCAAATGATTAAGTTGAACTTTAGAATTGCAGTTAAAAAGGTTTAAGAGTTGGCTCGGGCTTAGCTTTGGCTTTAGCTTTGGCTTCAGTTTCAGCTTTAGCTTTGGCTCCAGCTTTGGCTCCAGCTTTGGCTTCAGCTTCAGCTTTGGCTTCAGCTTTGACTTCAGCTTTAGCTTTGGCTTCAGCTTTGGCTTCAGCTTCAGCTTTGGCTCCAGCTTTGGCTCCAGCTTTGGTTTCAGCTTCAGCTTTGGCTTCAGCTTTGACTTCAGCTTTGGCTTCAGCTTTAATAGAACGCCAATACTCTAATAGAACGCCACCTCCGCGTACAATCGTGTAGTCTAACTTCTTTGGCTTCGGCTTTAGTTGAATCTTTCATACAGTACATAGACTAATTTTAAAGGAAAGCCTTGATTCAAAGCCATTCATAGGCCGACTAACTACCATAAATAGGACGCCAATACTTTAATAGAACGCCAATACTTTAATAGAACGCCAATACTCTAATAGAACGCCACCTCGTACAATCGTGTAGTCTAACTTCTTTTTAGAAAATCAGAAAATCAATCGAAATCAAATCAGAAAATCATCGCTTCCTAGAGTTTTCCCAGCTACACTTTTGATACCAAAAAATACTAGATTTCAAGGGCTATCATTTGATACCATAAAGCACACTGTAGCTTAAAGCAGTGCGGAGAACAGGACATTCAAAGTTAGACTACGCGACTGCTGAAGATGGCGTTTTATTAGAGAATTTCCGGTTTATAGTCTGAAAATTTAGCTTTAAACCATTTCCAATTTAGCCCAGCTTATAATCAAAGTCCCGTTTCCAAAAATGCACAAAAATCGGGGCCTTTGATTGAGATGTTTTTGTGAGTGTTCTTGAAAATCGAAAATCATTAGGTGCACATCTTTCCCCCTACACATTGAAGGCTTTCCGACTCATTTTGCCCTCGTTTTTCCTCGAAAGAATTCTCCCGCCCTATTCCCCCGTCTTTTCCATTCATTTCCATTCATTTCCAATCTCTCCACTCGATTGATCCGTGCACAAATCGAGGGCACCGATTTCCGCGCTCTTTTCAAGAAAAATTTGAATTTCTCTCAACCAATTTCAAACCAATTCTCTCAATTCTACGTTCAAGTACTGCAGTTTTAACTAAAAAACACGCAATTCTGATTCTTTTAGTTTAAAGCATTTAGCATTCCTGTTAAGTGAATCAATAACCGCTATTTTAATTGATTTTTATCCCATTTACTGATGAAATTCAAGGTTAAATCTATTTTTATAGCTAGTTGTAAGTACGGTGGCTAATTATAAGTATCTTGAAGCCTTTTCCAAAAGCTGAGCCTTAACCTGACACATAAAAACACTCAAATTTTAGCCTAATAGTCAGAACAAACCCTATGACTTACGGTAGCTCAGATGCCTTACTTATTGTTAGTTTGTGAAGCTTGATCTTGTAATCTTTAGCTTTATATTTATCTTAAAATAAAAGGTTTATCTTAAAAGCTGAGCATTTAATCGTAAAATAGATAGATTTGGTTCCTCTTCGGTACAGATTTGGTTCCCTTTCTCTACAGGTTTGGTTCCTTTTCTCTTGATTTGATTTGATTTGGATTTGATTCCTCTTCGGTACAGATTTGGTTCCTTTTCTCTATGGATTTGGTTCCCTTTCTCTACAGATTTGGTTCCTTTTCTCTACAGATTTGGTTCCCTTTCTCTACAGATTTGGTTCCTTCTCTCTACAGATTTGGTTCCTTTTCTCTACAGATTTGATTCCCTTTCTCTACAGATTTGATTCCCTTTCTCTACAGATTTGGTTCCCTTTCTCTACAGATTTGGTTCCTTTTCTCTACAGATTTGGTTCCTTTTCTCTACAGATTTGATTCCCTTTCTCTACAGATTTGGTTCCCTTTCTCTACAGATTTGATTCCTCTTATACTAGAGTCTTAATTTTGGCCAAAATCTTCCCCAAAATCTTCCCCAGGATCTTCGAACTTTTCAGCTCACTGAAAACAGTTGATCGTTTATCTTTAAACCCAAACATTATTCTCAATCTTTACCAAATTTCTTTCCTCATTTCGTTACCTTTTTTTGCTAGACTCTATAGAATAAAAGAACAAATTACCCGCTCGTTTTTGCGACATTTGAACTCATTAATTATTTCGATGAAAACTTTTGGGGAATTCGAAATTGAATTTGGGTTTTTTAGGGGGGTTTTGGTTAGCCAAAAATCGTCTATTGATTGAGGAAATTTCCGAAATTTTTCACTAAATTGTGGCTGTGAGAAAGGCTAGTGTTTTGAGGTTTTAAACTTTTAACTGTAAAACGTTTATCTTTAAAACCACAGTCATTAATGGTATTCTTTAAAGTTTAACTTTAAAGACTTTAACGTTAAAACTTTAAAACTTTAAAACTTTAAAAGAAATCCCAATAGATATTCATTTTTACAATAAGAATAAGCTTAGGCTCGGCTTACGGTACAATTTTGATACAATAGTCAATGTTTAAGCTCAACGTTTTGCCCAACATCGATAGAATACAGTATTTTCAGTATTTTCAGTACAATTTTGATACAGTGATTAACTTTTTGCCAAGTTTTACCCCAACTCCAATAGAATACACTACCTTTTTGAGTTCAAAGATGAGTCTAGATCATAGATTGGATTTGGAGATCCAAAGATCATAGATTTCCAAGAATTTTCCTTATATTCTTCCAATGTTTCATCCTCTTTGATCTCTCTTTTTTTGATCTCTCTTTCTCGAGCTCTCTTTTTTCGATCTTTTCCCATTTTTTCGTGTCCTCAATCTCTTTTTCAAATCCGGCTTTGAATCAAGAAATCTAGCTGGACACGGGAGGCGGGCTACAGGGCGTTTGGCCTTGTCCGATGTGCCCGTGCACTCCATCGGCCTCTTCGGCTCCACCCGTCTGTCCTGATTGCATTCTGAAAACCCTAGCCGCTATGGAACCCGAAGCGCAAGCGTTGTTGCTGATGGCGAACCCGGCGCTGATGTTGGATCATCTCGCCTTGGGACAATATCTACTAAATGAAATGCCCCAAATTCATAAACAGCAGCAATTGTTGGCTCAACAACAGCATTTACAACAACTCCAACTTCAACAGAGCCAATTTCAGCCTCAAACCTCTGCGTTGAATCGTGAGTTTTATGTTTTAGAGTAAAGATTTCAAGAATTGTCTGAGTCCCCAGCAAAACAAGACAATTCCAGTTCTTACACTTGCTATTTCTTTTACTTATACTTGCTCTTGCTCCAGAGCTCTTGCTTCAAAGCTCTTGTTTCAGAGCTCTTGCTTCAGAGCTCTTGCTTCGAAGCTCTTGCTCCAGAGCTCTTGTTTCAGAGCTCTTGTTTCAGAGCTCTTGCTTCAGAGCTCTTGTTTCAGAGCTTTTGAAAGCCCAAACTCTATTCAATTTCTAAACTTTTGAAGCCAAACTTCTATTAAACTTCTAAATTTTCGTAAAACAACTTGTCTATTTCCCATCGATTCTTATAATTCCTTTTCTTAACCTCAAAATTCCCCATCCTTTCTTGTCTAGTCTGTCTTGTCTAGTCTGTTTTTCTTCTCATTTTTCAACTCTCAACAATCATTTTCCACAATACTCATTGTTCAATTCGAAATTCGACTCAAATTCGAAACTTTCAATGAACTCATCCCGTTCGCGGGTTCACAGTCTAGACAGCGAAACTCTCAAGCGAAATAATCCGTTGTTCTGCCATCGGCTTCTCAGCCAAGGTGCATGGCGCAACGGTGGTTCCACTCCGACCGGTTTTTCTTGCCTCTTGTCAACTTTCTCTTTCTTTTCCCTTTCTTTTCCCTTTCTTTTCCCTTTCTTTTCCCTTTCTCACTTTCTCTATCTTCTTGCTTTTGATTCGCTCTCGATAGACTGCAGAGATTGGCAGTTTTTTGTGTGCAACAAGTCGAGATATTGAGGTCGACTCAAATGGCTTTCACATAAAAATTGTTGGAAAAAAGAAGAGCATAAGCTTTCTGATTGATCAAATCTCTACAAAAGGCTTTAGAAGAAGTATTGTTAGCTATTGTAAGCTTACGAAATATATAATTCTCTTTAGTTATATATTTGGTAAACTAATAGAATTTTTCTTTTTATCTGTGGGCTTATTAGAACTTAAACTTGTTCACTTTTTTTAAAATTCAAAGCCAAAGCTTCAAAGCCAAAGCTTCAAAGCCAAAGCTTCAAAGCCAAAGCTTCAAAGCCAAAGCTTCAAAGCCAAAGCTTTAAAGCCAAAGCTTCAAAGCCAAAGCTTCAAAGCCAAAGCCAAAGCTGTTACCAAAGCTAGTACTGTATTTACAATATGTTTTAGAATAGCTAAATGACACTTTAACTTAAGAAAACTGAATCCTTGTCTATAGTTATCAATAGTTGAGTCAATGAATCCTTGTTCTTTAGCTAAATAAGCCTGCCAATGCTTCACTTAGCCATTTCAAGAGTTATAAACTCTTGAAAGGGCTAGGTTGAAAGGATTAAATTGAAAGGATTGAATGTAAGTTCTAAATTCTGCTACTTTTATTATGATAACAAAGAAATGATATCGAGTGAACATAGACTAGACTTGAAAAGCTGATGATTGACAATTGCCACCATTGCTTTTTACTGTCACACGAGAGAAAGGAGGAGAAAGAGAGCGACATTAGGTCGACCCTGGGGGTGATTGAAAGGAGGAGTGGCTGAGGGGAATGGAGAGAATTTAGAGAAGACAGACAGCTGCAACTGAGAGGTGAGCCTGTTCTGACTGTAGAGGCCGTTGACCTTCTAGCGATTCACCAAACAGCTCTTAGCAGAAAAAAAAATGAGATCTCTTTCTCAATAGGGGTGAAGATATCATCGAGTTGATTCGGATCTAGAGAAAATATTGTTTTTAGCAAGATCTGTAAGCAAAGAAATTGAGAATCAATTCAAGAAATTCAAGAATTTTGGTACTTCTGCATCTTTAGCCCGCAAACAATTTAAAATTCAAATTCCTCTTTGACAAATCATTAATTTTATTGATATTGATGGATTCATTCATTAATATTGATTCATTCATTGATTCATTCATTCATTCATTGAGTTTTAACATGTTTTTTTCTAGTTTTGAGATGGTTTTGAATAGATTTGAGCTAGATAATTTAATATAATAATAATCAACTCGACGTTGCTTTAATATAGATAATTAATTTATTAGATTAGCTAAACTTGAGATCAAAAGCTTGATTTGAATAGTTCTTGTTCAAAATATAGAACAGCTGGTTCAAATTTTCTTTTAGCAGATAGGAGAGACATAAAATAAACAAAAAAAGGGGGAAACGTGGTTTTTTCGAACTGTCTGTTCGCTTTTTTTTCCGATCAGTGAATTCACAAAAAGATAAAGGGACAAAATGATTTGCATAACTGAAAAGAAGAAGAAAGAAAAGAAGAGTAAAAGAAGAAGAAAGAAAAGAAGAGTATTCGAAAAGAAGTGCATAATCAAATAGGGTAATAAAGTTTACAATTATGACTTACCGTATTTTCTCTAATAGTAGTGCACCCCGGCGAGTCGATTTGATGACTATTTTACAGTTTCCAAGCTTTTGCAGAAGCTCAACACTCTAATCCCCCACTAGATCTCATCGTCAGCTACATTTTCCGGTCCCACATCGATAGGTGACTCAGACTACAAATGTTTGTAGAAACACGTAGAATGACTATTTTTACAAAATGTTTTTACCAAAAGATCAAGCCAAATTTGGGCTTTCGAATGGCGATAAAATCAGGCCAATCCATCGTCTCTGTACTGAAATATAACGTTTTTTTCGAGATTTGTAGTCCTATTCCATGAAACGAGACGACAAACTTCTATAAATAGCTCGTACTCAGAGCACAGATTGTGAATTATTCTGATCTTTGTGTCATTTGAAAGCCTAAAGTTGCCCCAATTCTTTGGTTAAAAGAGTTTTTAAAAAATGACCATTCTACGCGTTTCTATAAGCGTTTGTAGTCTGCTCTTGTAGTTTGTAGCATCCATGTTAACTACCATAGTTAAACCACCAGTTTTCATTTGATCGATCGTTTGATATCAATCGTTGAGGAATCACAAGGCTCGATCAATGACATTTGATTAGATTTAAACTAGTAGCTTTAAATTAATAGATTTAAACTAGTAGATTTAAGCTACTAAATTTAAACTACTAGATTTAAACTAGTAGATTTAAACTACTAGATTTAGACTACTAGACTTAAACTACTAGATTTAAACTACTAGATTTAAGCTACTAGATTTAAGCTATTAGATTTAAGCTACTAGATTTAAACTACTAGATTTAAGCTACTAGATTTAAACTACTAGAATTAAACTACTAGATTTAAGCTACTAGATTTAAGCTACTAGATTTAAGCTACTTGATTTAGACTAGTAGATTTAAACTAGTAGATTTAAGCTAGTAGATTTAAGCTACTAGATTTAAGCTACTAGACTTAAACTACTAGATTTAAACTATTAGATTTAAGCTACTAGATTTAAACTACTAGCTTTAAACTACTAGATTTAAGCTACTAGATTTAAGCTACTTGATTTAGACTAGTAAATATGTGCTTCTTAGAAAACAGACTCGCTTTAGAAACAGAGAACAGAAAACAGAAAAGAAAAACGCTTAAAAACACACTTAAAAAGCTATCCATTTCTTTAAGCATTGCTATTGCTTGTCTTTTTTTCCCAGACATTTTTCCGACTATAAGACTCGTTTTTCTGGCTAGAATTTCAGCATAGGATTCTCCTGAAAAAGAGCAGTCATGTTTGTGTGTTTTTGCATGACGCTTCCGCCTGTTTGGTCACTCGGATGGTTGTGGTCAGCGGAAAGAGTGACGTCAAAAAACGGCGATCTCTTTTGCCTCTCTTTTGCCTCTCTTTTCTATCTAAAGTCTCGTTTTCTAAATGTACCCACGTTGCAAGCGTTTACCACTTTTGAGATCTTTCTGATCTTCTTTTTTAATCTTCTTTTTAATCTTCTTTTTCTCTCCAGTCAGATCGTTTTAAAGTTATCCAAAGTTTCATTGCTACCTTATCAACAGATTGATCAGTTTCTTGATGGCAAAAAATTATGAATCTCGTTTTTTAAATGACAAAAATTGAATCATTTGAATAATTTGAATAATTTGAATAATTTGAAGCATTTCCCAGCTACACAGATCTTTTTGAGTCTTTTTCTACTAGCTTTTTGCTCTTTCTACTAGCTCTACTAGTTTTTGTTTACTAATTTTGTCTACTAGCTTTGTATTGTAGAATTAGATCACTGGAAATCATCTAGATACTTTAACAAGCAATTCCAAACTCCTCTCACAACGTTTCTCCTAAATTTTACCTTCAAAATTACCGATTCTTATCGATTCTTAAGATAATTTTAACATTTTCAATGAAGTAGTTCTTGTTTTTGTCTTGTTTTTTTGATCTTTTTCTCAAAAAACCCTAAAAAAATCATTCTATTGTTAGGAAAAGAAACTCTGAGCTCTCTCCAATTCCCTCTTCCTTTGCCTCTTCAAATAAATATTCAAAACTAAAAAAAAACCCTTGTTTAACCTATTACTGAAAACAGTTGATCGTTTATCTTTAAACCCAAACATTATTCTCAATCTTTATCAAATTTCTTTCCTCATTTAAAGATTTTGAAGTTCTAGTTTTCAATATTTTTCATTCCCAACAACTTGCACAAACAAATTATGATGTAGGTTTTGAGGGAGAGAAATATGTAAACAAGTTTGGTCATAAAACGCTCGCTTTGCTCGTAAACAAGAATATTTTTAAAGATTTCAGAACGTTTAAAACGTTTTTATTCAATAGTTGAATCAATAGGTTAATAGTTTTTTGATATAAATCTATAATTCTTTGGTTCTTGGGTTTCTTCAGACACTTGTTTATGCAAGTGGAGCACAAATTGGAGCTGGGTGTGGGACATTTAAAACGTTTTTAATCAATAGTTGAATCAATAAGTCAAATCAATAAGTTAAATCAATAAGTTAATAGTTTTTTGATATAAATCTATAATTCTTTGGTTCTTGAGTTCCTTCAGACACTCATTTATGCGAGTGGAGCACAAATTGGAGCTGGGTGTGGGGGGAATAGCCAGCTGATGATCATTAGCTATGCAGTTCCACAATTCTGAATTCTGAAAGGAGTTTCAGGAATGAA